GCCATATCAGGATATTCCCCTTTTGACAGATATTGTTTGATGTCATGGAACCATGGATGATCGTCAACAGCTTCATCTATCAGTAGGCAGAACGCTTGCTTATCGTGCCGCCGGATATTGATGATGGGCATTTCATGCTCCTTATCCAAGGCGAACATCGATGATAGTGTGGCAAGGGCGTCAGCGAACTGATTTTCCTCCCTTGGGATATATTCAAAAACGACATTTTGAAAGAATTGTATCAGGTCTTTGATATAGTTCTCTTATTGTAGGGACTCTGCCTCTGTTCCCATCGAAGCGACGCCGGAAGAAACGAGGAAGTAGCAGAAGCGAGAGGAGGCGCTCCATCTGCTTACCCATGCTATATTTCTCAGGGTAGATTGTAGATTTGTCTTTTCATGTTGTTGAAGCAAATATGCTTCTATTCTTTCACGGTCTTGTTTTTCTTACTGTGAGTAACACTAGTCATATTTTACCAGGCAAGCATGGAATCAATGATGAGAAATCGAGAACTAACAAAAACAAGGATGATGCAGGTAAGTAGGTAAGATTGCTATAATTATACAATATTTCCCATTCATGTGATGAAGCTGTTTGAATATTAAAACTTCTGATCTTTTAGGCTCTAAGAGAGGAGCTAGCATCTGCTGAGCGAAGAGCAGAAGAGGAGTGCGCTGCACATAATGCTACCAAAATGGTCTGCAACTTGAATTATTTATTCTTAAGTTTCTGTGTTTTGCATTATATTTTAGTGATTCTGTGATTGGTATAACAGACTGCGATGGAAAGAGAAGTAGAATTGGAGCACAGAGCAGTTGAGTCATCCACTGCACTTGCAAGGATACAGGTAATGTAAGCACTTGCTATGGTTTAATTTTTAAATGGGATGCAAATCATATTAAAGCACTGTTTTCTGTTTGGATTTTTCCATATGTCATTAGTTTATTGTTTATATCATAATTGAATTGACAACATTGTGGTAGATATACATGCTGGGTGTCAAGTTGTCTATGTGGTTAAAAATTCTATATATGAACTTTATTATCAAGAGCTTGTACAGAAAACATGTAATTGAATTCTAAGCATAGGTGGAAATTTTTCCTAGGGAAAAAATTTAAAATAACACGTACTTATAATACTAGTATACAGACCTTGTGTGATTTTTAGGCAGCAATATCCCTGGTACTTTTGGGATTGCAATATTTTCTGTGCTAGCCTATTTACTTAGAGATTAGGTTGGCTGACCCGCTGGAGCACTTTCGGGCTGCAATGGGCCGGTCATTTCACCTACTGGCATCCTTGTTTTTCTTAGTGTGAGTTCATGTTGTTGAAGCAAATATGCTTCTATCCTTGTTTCTGTAATTTAAAAGGCTTGTATGTTACGTAAAAATCTGGATAATTAATATATTTTTTATCAGTAATGGTTTTGTATGCAATCATATAGAAATATCCACAAGGTAGTTTTTTATTTTTTATTTTTATCTAATATTTGCTGTGTTCTTTTCTTAAGTGCATGAAATCTTAAAGTTGATGATCTTCTCATGATCATATATACACACTTTTTTTTCATTATTGTTATGCAATTTTCTGCTGCATTTTTTTTTTCTGATTGCATTTTGTTTTCGAGTTTTGTTGCTGGTGCTTGTGTAATTGTGTTGATTGTTGAAGTGGATTTTATTTTTTTTATTTTATTTGATTTGAATTGTTTGACTGTTTTGAATCTGAGTTGCTATTAGATATTTTGGTGCTAGTTTTCATTTTTAATTATTATTATGCAGTTTTTTATTACATTTTTTCTTTCTGATTGGATCTTGTTTTTGAGTTGTGTTGTTGGTGCTTGTGTAGTTGTGTTGATAATCGAAGAGAAATTGTTGTTCTTTTTTGTTTTTTTTATTTTGTTTTAATCTGTGGCGAATCTGAGTTACATATTTTGATGGTTGGATCAAAATTGGGAAACCAGAATTGCCTAATTAAAAATAGGAAGACCGAAAATTTCCGTAGGTAAGTTATCTACGAAAATTTCTGTAGATAAGTTATCTACGGAAATTTCCGTAGATAACTTATCCACGGAAATTTCTGTAGATAAGTTATTTACGGAAATTTTCGTAGATAATATCTACGAAAATTTCCGTAGGTAACTTATCTACGAAAATTTCTGTAGGTAACTTATCTACGAAAATTTCTGTAGGTAACTTATCTACGGAACTTTCCGTAGATAAGTTACCTACGGAAATTTCCGTAGAAAAAAGCATCCGTAGATAAATTTCGTAGATAAACGCATCCGTAGATAAATTATATTATAAAATCCGTAGATAACGTTATCTACGAAAAATTTTCCGTAGATAACGTTATCTACGACCTTATTATCTACGGATTTTTTTCCGTAAATAATCCGTAGATAATTATCAGTTATCTACGGATTTTCATCATTATCTACGGATTTTTCAGTAGATAATGCTGATTTTTCTTGTAGTGTATGAAGGCCTTCATAATTCTATTTTATAATGTGGAGTATGAAGGCCTTCATAATTCTATTCTAAGTGTGGTTGTTACGGCCATGTAACCAAAGAATGCGAGGAGGCTATCTTAGAGAATAATTAGGATACAGAGAAGATAATGCAAGAGGATTCACTAATTAGAGAATAATAAGGGTACAAAGAAGATAGCATAGAAGGATTCACTAACTAGAGAGGCCACCATAACAAACCCTAGCCATGCAAATGTGATCGCTCACAGCGAGACATCCATAAAGCCACACAACGATTGGATGATTGTAAAATGGAAAGTGAGAAATATGAGGACTTATTTCCAAAACAAATTTCACAAAGATTCACAACATGAGAATGACAACCACAATTAGAATACTACAAGCAATTAGGGCTATTTAGGATATGTAAATTATAACAGCCCAACCACACCAAAATGAAAGGGATCCAAAGATTTGTACAAGTGTGAGATTGTACAATTGAGAATGTCTTAAAGGAATTAATTTGTACTACATATACCAACAAGATGCATCTACTTTTCGATAAATCACTACTTAAGAACTCCATAGTTAAGCATGCTTGTCTTGGAGCAATTTAGGAATTATAAACACTCAATTTCATCTAAAATACCAAAACAAGACAAAGGACTACTAAAACAGGACAAAAAATCTTTAGAAGGCCCAACATCACATCAAAACAAGCCAAAATAACATCAGAAGGCCCAACATCACATCAAAACAAGCCAGAATAAAATCAGAAGGCCCATAAGCTCAAAAAGACAGAATTAGGAGCCCGGAATGGGCCATTCCAAATGAACAAAAAGGCCTGGAAACCCTAGCTTGGAATGACCTGTTTCAAAATCAAAATGACTCGTTCCTAATTCAAAAAATTGGCTTGAAACTCTAGCTTGGAATGACCCATTTTGAATCCCAAAACGATCATTCCAATTAGTCTGATGCCTATAAATAGGTTTCCTCATGCACAGTGCAAGGGGACCGAATTTGGACCGAGTTTTATCGAAGATTAGACCGAAAAAGTGAAAACTTTTGACTTCTGTAGTTTTAGTTTAGATATTCTTTTTTCTCTATCTCTTGTATTTCTTGAGTGGTGTAAGGACATCTATAGTGTGAAATGGTTGCCAAAAAGCACCTACAAGCCACCATTAGAAGAATCTTATAAAGCTTGCCTAAGAGGTATTGCTATCAACCCCCCCCCCCTCTCTCCCTCTTTATCATTATTTCATTTGAATATTGTCGTAATGAACCATAAGTTATCATTTAGACATTTCACTTTCAAACGTGTGAGGGATTAAATCCCTATTTTATAAGTAATTGTAATTTAAAATAACATGTAAATAACCACTAAATAAAAAAGGAAATAAATACTCAAACTATTATTCTTTATTATGTTAATTTCATCATAGGGTACCGATTTAGGACGTTGTAGGGTGTCTAATACCTTCCCTATACATAATTGACCCTCGAACCCAATTTTGGTTATGAAGGTCATAAATGACTTTTCAAAAAACCTTTCCTTTTTTCAATATTTTGAGTAAAATATTGGTGACGACTCCTTTGAACTTTTTCAAAAAGTATTGATTATGGACTAGTCTAGTTTCCGGGCATTCCCCAACTGATGAGATTTTCAAAATGGAGGTTCAAACCATCTGTGGGCAGGATCAAAATTTTTCAAGTTCCAATAGATGGCGACTTCACTAGGGAAGCTTTAAAAGGGTTAGGCCCAATAAATGATGAAATTAGTAAGATAAGTATAATATTTCAAATTTTTTTCCCCTTTACTTTGTTTTTATTTACTTGGCTTTAATATTTGTATGTTTGTTTAAATTTTGCACCTGTTTAAAATAAAAAAGTGTACACAAACCTTTGCACATAATAATTTCATTTATACTCGGGGGCATGAGCGTATTGTTAGTCCTAGTTTACTAGAATCTAGAAGGGGGTTGAATAGATTCTATCCTAAGATGACTCACTTTTCAATAATTCTTGATAAAGACCTACCAAGATATCTAAAATTCAACCTTTACTCAATTTGAATTAACAAAGAACAGTAGATTACAAGGTTTATTACCAACGTATCAAGAAATCAAAGTTAATGCAGCGAAACAATCACTTGTAACCAAGGTTGATTTTATATTACCTTCTTTTCAATCAATTTCAATTCCAAGCATAAAGATCAGAGTTGTTACTGCAATTGAAATTTCATATCTCAGAAATCTTTAAACAAGAAATTAGCAAGATTCTTTAAAGATAAGGGTAATAGATAAAAAAAAAATAGAAATTTATACTAGTTCAACCATCCACTTGGTCTACATCCAGTTTTCCTTGATTTAGCACTCCACTAAATCAAAGATCATTCACTATAATATTGTTTACAAACACCTTGCACACACAATATTACAAGAATTCAAACAAACATCAATCTTGACACCATAAGATTGAAAACAAACAAAATTTTTGTACCCCACAGAAATTACTTGAGAAACCCTACTCAAGATTTTAACATCTCTTGTCAAGACACCCTATCTCAAGAGATACACCAATCAAAACAAAAATACAAGTTTAAAACTCATAAAGATATCACCTACTTTCATGTAGATATTAATCTTTCACTCTTGAATACACTTCTTGAATTTCTTGCTTCAAGAACTCATGTTCTATCTTTGCACTTCTTGGAATTTTAGAAAAATTCTTTGATAAGCCTTGAATCTTGTTTCTGAAAATAATCTTTTTTTTAAATGTTTCTCTTTCAAAAGATTTTCAAAAAGTCTTTAAAAGTTTGTATTTTTAATTTCAAAAGGATAGATTTTATAAAGTGCAAGACGTGATTAAATTATAAAGAGTAATAATAAAGGTAATTTATTACCTGATATGGTAATTTGTTACTAGCTCTTTAAAATGAACCATAAACACAAATATCTCCAAGGTAATCAATTACGTGATATGGTAATCGATTATCCCGAACTTTCTAAGATCCAGGATTGCCTTCCATTTTGTGGTAATCAATTATCTCTTGTGGTAATCGATTAACACGATGAAAACTTTGATTCTTTAGCCTGATTTCAAGCAAGAGAGTCTAAGAGAGTACTTGAAAAACATTTTCCAGTAACAAACGTGGTAATCTATTAACATAGAGGACATTTGAATATCCTTTTCCAGTAACAGAATTGGTAACCTATTACCCTGAATGGTAATTGATTAACAATGTTACCTTGAAAACTCTAGTTTGAATCAAGTCATATTTCTATGTTTAAACACTTGGTAGTAAATTACCATTTTTAAGATAATCTATTACTTTATGTTTACTCATAGAAATACTAAAAAATCAAATTCTTGGTTTCTTAAAAAACTTGATTAGTTCTTGAATTAAGCATTCATCATCATCATCAATCATAAAAAAACCCACACAAAAGCCTGTATCTATTACAATCAATACAATATCCTTTTTCATATGCTTAAACACCATTTATACATTCAAA